GAGGGCGGCTGTCGGCCTGGCCGGGGCGGGCCCGCCGGGGCGGAGTGCCCCTCGCAGGCCCCCGCGCCAAACCCGCCGCGCCGGCCCCTCCGCCACGCTCCAGCCCTCAGAGAGCTTCGTTCTCCGCCCGTTTGCGGTGTTCTCCAACTTGACCCAGTCCCTCTTGTGAGGACAAACACTTCTAGCCTGACATGTTCCGACATGGGGCACCCAGAAAGTGACCTGTGTAGCTCAGGTTATATAGTCCCCAAACCCACCTATGAGGCTTACCCACCTCTCCACTTGGGAGGGGGAATGTAGATGGAGTGAAAGTGATGTCACATACTTGGACCCTCAGGAGAACTCAGTGGAAAGGGTGACACCAGCTTCTCTGCTCACCTCAGCACACTCTGCACCCTTCTCCATTCTGCCCAACTCAGGCCTTCTCTGCTCCCCTGCCCCACAGTGCTCTGAGCAAGGTGGCCGGCTTGTCCTACCCAGGGGCACGCTGAGACTGTCCCTCTCTGGCACATTGCTGGGCCCAGGATCACAACAGGAAGTGTTCATTTCACTGAAAACCGGTTAAATGTCTCTTCAGAGCAGCTAAAAGGTGCAGGGAAAGGGCACCAGAGGTCAAGGGTGAGCCACCAGGGACAAGAGACAGCCCACATCTGCCTAGGGCACAGGTGGCATCTGCGAACACCTGAACTCATGAACAGCAGGTCTGGCCAGCTGCAGATACAGGCATTGCTTGTCATCTAGCCCTCCAAGCAAGACATCCTTACAAGGGAATGCACCTGCACAGGGTCTTCCCACACCACTGCAGGGACAGGTGACTGGAGCCCACCACACATAGCATCAGCACCACTCCAGGAGCAAGGTAGCAGCAATTCCCAGATGCAACAAAACACCATACTCAGGGATTTTAATGTTTAATTAGATTTTCTCTTGTATGTATGTATGTATGTATCTCCTGAGAATATATACATACATCCGTGTGTGTGTGTGTGTATACACACACATGAATTATCAGAGGAATTTATATATATGTACACGTATTCATTCCTTTGATAATCAGAAAAAAGGTAAACATTACAAAAAAAATCCCCACCTGGCTCAGGCACAAAAACATGTCTTCCTGGGGTCCTCGCCCTCCCTGAGCTCCCTGACCATCGCCCTTCCTTGGCTACCCCTGCCCTTCCCATCCCCATGGCGCCCAGACTGAGACCGCCTCTTTGGGTCTTCATTGCTAGTGCTGCCGTCTGATGGAGAATTCTGAGAAAATAACTTTTCTGTGGTTGTTTTTCTTTTGACCTTTTCATCCCCAGCGAAGGCAAGCAGGTTGCATCCCTTTTTCTGTCTTTGGCTCCTTTCTCCCACCCCCTTTTGTTTGGTGCTGAGAGAGACAACTCAGCTATTTCTAGTTATAAGGGTGGTTTTTACACATTTGTAAATCTTCACTTAGTGAAACGTTCTCTCCGCCTTTGTCTTTGTGTCCTTAATGGTAGCCATAAATTACCGCCTTCTTTTCTCTCTGCTGCATCAGGCTTCATTGCTCTTGAAATGATCAAAGTTATTTTCTTTTAAAAATCCAACTAGAAACTGCCCATTGTGTGGCAGAGACCTCTTCAGCTCCAGTCAAAGCATATAAATAAATACATAAAGCTGCCCATTAAACTCTTATGGGAGCCTCCTTCAGCCCCTTGTGCCTGGTAAGAAATAAGACATGCTGTTCTTTCCCTTCACTGTTTCCCCAAGTTTATATTTCAGTAAGAATGCAAATTAATTATAAGACCCACTGTGTTTTTTTTTAACCAAGAGGGTCAGTTTTTGTTGTATTTGCTGGAAAAGTTTACCATTGGCACAGATCTCAAAAAATGTTCTGAATCCTGTTTTGTTTGCCCTGACTTCCATACAAATGTGCTTTCAGCTGGTCAGCTCCCAGATTCCTGGGCAACCTTTCTGACACTTCAGATTAAAGTCAATATGGTTTACAACTGGGAACTTCCATAGGGGAAAGTCTCTGGGAGAAATTTGTGCTCAAATGTCGACGTTTTCAGCGTTCCAATGTCAGGAGGGACTTGGTGGGCCCTGAGCTAGCTGCTGTTTGCTTTCTGTTGTCCCACTGAGGTCCCCACACTGTCTCTGGACTAAGGCTGCATCTTCCTCTCCCCTCCCTCAGGCTGAGAGGCCGTGAACCAGACCAGAGAGGAAAGACAGCCCAGCCAGCCCCGTTTCACTGGTGTGGGCTTCTGGCACGAAGAAGACTGTGGAAGCAGAAGCTGTGGTACCCCTGAGCTACATATGGCAAAGGTAAACTCTGCATTCACCGGACAACTTTCAATGCCCATCTTTTTTGACTCTTCAGCAGCCTCTGGAAACGCCTTTTAAAAACTCTCCCTCCCCTGGGTTTCCTCAACAGCAGGCAAGCTCCTGGTTTTCCTCCTGCCTTTCAGGAAATGCCTTCTCGATCATCTTCGTGGGATCCTCTCTCCACATCTTCCCCTTGATGGTTTGCTCATTCCCCTGTTTCCATAATAGAAATCTCCAGCTTTAATCTCTCCCCTTAGCTTCAGTTTCATGTATCCAATTGCCTACTAGATACCTCTGCCTTGATCTCCCACAGGTCCTTCAGATTGAACATGTTCAAAACAGAGTTTATCTTCTTTCCCAAACCTGCTTCTTCTCAAGTGCCAGGCTCCACCACTCTGCCAGCACCAAGTCAGACCTGGCAGTCATCCTGGATTCCATCCTCTCTCTTCCCACCACATCCAAACACTCATGTCAACTTGACCATCTTACCATCCCTCAAGACCATCCTCTTTTGCCATGTAAGCTTCCAGAGCTCAGGCCTCATCATCCCTCATCTGGTCTGTTGCTCCTAGCCTGTGGTTCCTTATTGATCTCCCTGTCCAGAATCTCACCATCTTCCTCGGTGGCTGCCAGAGTAAAATGTAAATTTCATCACATTGTTCCCAGTCTTCCTCAGGCTAAAGTCCAAACTCCCTTGACACAACCCATCTGGAGAACTGTTGGGCAGTATCTACTAAAGCAAAACATCACTACCCACTGCTAGCTATACACCCAAGGGAAATGAATGTGTATGTTCATCAAAAGACATAGACAAGAATGTTCATACTGGCTGTATTCACACTAGCACAAAACTGGAAATAACCCAAATAGCCATCAACCAGAGGAGGCATAAACAAATTGTGGGATATTCACTCAGTGGAATATTATGGAGCAAAAAAAATGAACAAACGCTAATACATTTAACAACACTGAGGCATCTCATGATTATCATATTGAGTTAAAGAAGCCAGATACAAAAGGTACTTGTTGTATAATTCTACTTCTATGAAGGTTAAGAACAGACAGAACTAAGTAATAGTGATAGAGGCCAGAATAGTAGTTCCCTCTGGGGATGGGTATTGACTGGGAAGAAACATGAAGGAACCTCCTGGAATGCTGGAAATGTTTTAGATCTTGATTTGGGTGATTATATGGATGTATACATACGTAAAAATTCACTAAGATGTTGGCTTAAGCTTAAAGCACTTTATGCACTTTACTGTATATGTTTTACCACAAAAAATAAGTTAAAACAAGAACTGCCTAGCCAAAGACCTTTATGATCTGCTCCCCTTCTACCTTTCCAGCTTCTCTCCCAGTACTCCCTTACCCACAGGCTCTGCTCCAGCAACATCAAACTGCTCATACCAGGAGTTTGTCATTTTCCTCCTCACACATGTTTTCTGTTGCTCATGCTCTTCCTTTTGCCTAAAAGACATGAAGTGGGTCTTAATAAATATTATAAATGAAGAGCAACATCTTGATTAATAAATATTACTATACCCCAAGGAAAAAGGTGTTTGCTGAGATATCCCTCAAACAGCAATGAGGAATGGATGAAAGTACTAGTGTCTGCAGGTTAGTAGGTCCTGAGAACTAATGCAGAAAACGAAACCCATTTGCTCTTGCACACACATTAATTTCTCCTCCATGGCTGGGCTTTCACATCTCCTGGAAAACTTTTTCAGTATGTCTGAGTTACATATGAAGTAGTTAATTTTTCTTGTTGCTTACCCATCTCCATCTGCTCCTTCCTCCTTCCTAACAGACATTTATCCCTTCCCCAGACAGCTCATATTCCTAGGAGGGAAGCTGCCCCACCCCCAACTTCAGGCTCTGGAATTGGCTTAAGACAATCAACCTGTTTCATTCCATTCCCACCTCAGCAGTCACTGGTTCAGGGATAAACATGTGACAGTGTTCCAGTCAGAATGAATCTCAGTCTCTTTGCCTGAAAGGCTGGAAGGGAAGCACTTTCTTTTCTTCCTGTGGTATGGTTGTAAATGAGAAACTTTGGCAGCCATCCTGATGCCAACCCAAAGAGGGTAAACCAAGAGAAGCACTGAAGCCGACCTGGAGGCCCTCCCCTCCTCAGGACCTCCAATTACATGTGCCAGTACATTACCTTATTGCTTGAAGTGGTTTTTTAAATTTATTTTTATTTTTAATTTTTAAAATTGTGGTAAAATATATGTAACATAAAGTTTACCATTTAAACTATTTTAAGGTATACCATTTAATGGCATTGAGTACATTTACGTTGTTGTGCGACCATCACTGCCATCCATACCCAGGTCTTTTTTCATCTTGCAAAACTGGCACTCTGTACCTACTAAACTCCCCACCCACCACCCCCAGCTGCTGGCAACCACCATTCTACTTTCCGTTTCTATGAATTTGACCACTCTTAAGTACATCATATGAATAGAATCATACAGTATTTGTGACCATCTCATTTCATGTAGCATAAATTCTTCAAGGTTCATCCATACTGTAGCATGTGTCAGAACTTACTTCCTTCTTTGGGGCTAAATAGTATTCCATTGTGCATGTATACCACACTCTGCTTATCCATTCATCTGTCATTGGAAACTTGGGTTGCTTCTGCTTTGGGACTATTTTGAATAATACAGCTGTGAACATGGGTATACAAGTATCTATTTGTGTCTCTGCTTTCAGTTCTTTTGATTGTATATCCAGAAGTGGAATTGCTGGATCATATGATATTTCTATTTTTAATTTTTTGAGGAACTGCAATACTAATTACCATAGCAGCTATACCATTTTACATTCCCACCAGCAATGCACAAGGATTCCAATTTCTGCACATCTCACCTAAACTTACTGTCTGTTTGTGTTTTGTTTTAAATAATAGCTATCTTAATGGATGCAAAGTGGTGGCTCATTGTGGGTTTTGGAATTGGATTTTCTATTATTTATAGCCCCCAAATATTCCTATTCAGTTCCAGATAAGCCTCCATTAGGAAACTTTGGCTAGGAAGCAAGTAATCCTCTGAATGAGGTGGGAGAAAGATAGTTGGGTAGGGTCGAATCCTCTTGGATTCTGAGTAACAAATAATTGTTTTATTCACAAAGTTGTTGCCAGGACTCTTTTATTTCTTCAATGGTTCTGAAAACTGCACCAACATTCTTTTGCTTACAGAGGATTAAAATTCCTCCAATAAATTTTTACTTAAAAATGATAATAGTTAACATTTGCATTAAGTAAATACTAAATGTCAGACACTAAGTACTTCTCTTGTAACCCTCATAGAAACTTTGTGAAGTAGATATCATCATGATCCTTATTTTACAGATATAGAAACTGAAATGAAGAGAGGTTAAGTAACTTGCTAGGAGGTGGCAGACCAGGACCCAATGTCAAGATGTCTGACATCAGATCCTCCTTAACCACTGCTCCACCAAGCCCGTAAGTGTACCAGGCATTATGTTAGAGAGCTACAAAGATGAATTGGAAGCAAACTCTGCCCTCAAAGAGCTTACAGTTTAGCAGAAAAGAGACATAATGAGTAATCCTCAACACCTCTCTCAAAATATAAATACGATAATTCTTGTTTAAAAACTTTTGGCACTCCCCTGATTGTATTACCTGTATTACCTGTACCATAGACCAACCTCGTGGGCAAGACCAGTTCGTAATTTTCAAAGCCCAGTGCAAAATTAAACTGCAAGGCTCTGGGGGAAGGGTATAGCTCAGTGGTAGAGTGCATGCTCAGCATGCACAAGGTTCTGGGTTAAATCTCCAGTACCTCCATTAAACAAACAAACAAACCAACCTAGTTACATCCTTCCCTCCCCCCCGCCCCCCACACACACAAAAGCAAGGCTCTTTATTCAAAAAAGGGGGAGAAGTTTCATTAAAGCTATTAAAAATAATTTTTCCTTTAAAAATATTTTATAGGGGTAATAGTGATACATGACTAACAACATAAACTTACAAATTGCAAAAATAACATTTTAGTGTCATAATTTTATAGAATGCAATAAATAATAATACCTTATTAATGTGATATCTTGATTGACCATAAGATTTTCTTCTGGCTTATTTTTTTGAAAATTCATTTATTAGGTTGTTAAATTTATACTTTTGGAATCTTTATTTTCAATCAATATAATCAAAGGGACATCAGTCATTCTTGGCAAATGAAGGATCAAATAATTTTTCGTCATTTTTAATTCTGAGAAGAATCTTTCTACTGATGCAACTATTACTGAATATGTTAAGAATATTTTATAAACTATAACACACTGGAATAAATTTTTGATAAATTATTTTGAAATACATATTTTAGTACATGTGGAGCTGATGAGTCTCGCAGATATTTTTTTCTAAAAAGCTTTAACTCTTCAAACAAATCACTCTGGGGTAAATCTGAATTTAATTTTAAATGCAAATGTATACAATGGCATTTCAATATTTTCTTTGACATTTTCTATTTAAGATCATATAAGAAACCAAAAGTGGCTTCATGATTTGTGTGTAATTCAAAACACCTGTTTATGTATTCATTACTGTATCTTCAGTTACAAGGAAAAATTAATTTTAAATTGTCTTCTTTGTTAATAATTGGTTAATATGAAACTTCATATGAAAATAGTGTTCTTTTTCATGTAACGGAATTTTTATCTTTGGTTTCTATTTCTCAGCCTGTGGATATTTGCCTTGTAATGTTGTGGTAGTTTTAAAAATCAGAGATTCTAAACTCTTCAAAGAATTCTAGTAACTCCCTGCTATGCTTGACTGCCACATGCACGTGTTTGATTTTCTTTTGTAATAATTTACTGACAAAGTTTACTGCCTGAATTTTGGCAATTCCTATCCCAGTGCTCAGGCCAGAGTTAATACTTGTGCAGACACCATGGGAATATGCTCTGTGGATGGACAGGCCACATGGGTCTCAGAGGTGCCCCCAAGCAGAGACCCTCCTTTCTTCTTGCTGCTGCCCGTCTGGGCTCTATATTGGGATATGAGTGAGTTTTATTATTCTCACAGTAGGGAAGCCATAGATACTATCTAAAAAAAAAACAAAACAGAGATTGAAGGATATCATACAAGGTTTTAATTTATTTAGAAACCCAAGATTTCTAAATAGCAGAAGAGCCACGTGCACGAAACTGGCCTCAGAAGAGAGAGAAATGATGGAGATCAATTTGAATAGAAGAAATAGAGAAGGCTGTCAAAGAGCTACCCCACTTCTTATAAAAGCAGCAGAACCAGATAATTTAACAGGGAAAATCCTAATAAACTTTTAAAGACCAAATCATTCTAATATTTTTCAATTGTTCCAGAGCATAGGAAAAAAGTTCAAATTCTTTTATGAAGGAAGTATATACCATTAATGCCCAAACTAATAATATTGTACACAAAAAAGGAAACTATAAAATCAATGTCATTTATGACTACCAATAAAAAAACTCTAAACAAAAAATTAGCAATCAAAATTCAGCATCATAACTAAG